CTAGATCTTTGTAGTATTCCTATATTATTTAAAATAGTATAACTATAGTATAATATTTATAGTGTTTCATAGTTGTTTTTTAAACACACTATAGACCACTCCTAGTAATATCANTATTGATACATTTTTTGCCCTTGCGACAAATGGAGTTGGTGATCCCTGGTTACGGTATCTGCCACTCACCTTCCGTGGCAAATGCTGTCTATTTAAACCGTATTTATCGTGTTAAATGTCGCTGTTTGGCATGACTTTATCGAACTGATCTGTACACAGGACTGATGGTCCGATCTCTATTTAAAAAAAGAAAATAATTAAACATTATGATTTCTATTAGATTTTACTTGGAGAACGTGGTTTGTTAAAATAAATAAACGTGCTATTTTTATGATAATACTCAAGATATATTATAAGTAAATAAAGAAAACTTATTGACATTAAGATCTATCATTGTTGACCAGAGGTGGGAAATAGGCTAACTAGGCTATATATAGGCTACTCAAGTACTGTACTTGTGTAATATGTACTTTAAGTATATTTTTATGCTAATACTTTTGCGCTTTTACTTGAGTAACATTTTAATGCAGGACTTTTACTTGTAAAAGAGTATTCCTACATTTAGGTAGGCTACTTCTACTTTTACTTTGAACCGCCAGTGGTCGCTGTATAGCCATACCTAAAACCGCCAACGGGTAAAATGTACCCGCTATTCGAATGCATTGATTTTCAAGGTATAATGTTATTTTATTTATCATACTAGAACACAGGGTTAACAGTGAGTGTTGCCACTACTCGCTGTGGCATGTGCCTTGGCATTTGCAGGTACTTCCGGCATCTGTCACAGATGCCACTACTTGCCGAGGCATCTGCGGCAGATACCACTAGTTTGCCGTGACATCTGCCGCTGCTGAACGGGAATTGCCACTAGATGCCGGTGTAAGTGAAGAATTACGGTAGCTGCCACTCGCCTTCCGTGGCAAATGCTGCTGTTTAAACCCGTATTTGCAGATGCCACTACTCCGTCGTATCTCTGGCAGGCACTTCCGGCATCTGCCACAGATGCCACTACTTGCTTACTAATATTTCGTAATCTTAAATGCAGTTTCTAAAGTTGAAACCCTACAAGCACTGCAAAGCTGGCAAGGGGAGACGGATGAGGATGACTCACCATACGAGCTCTTCACCTTTGCATTTGACCAAAGAAAGGACTACAAAACGTTCTGCCAAGAACTAGTTACAGTCAAGCATTACAAATTGTTCTCCAGTTTCGAAACACAATAAAAGGGTTGGATAAAAAGACATGAATTGTGTCTTGCTTTTTTTACTATACTGTCATGATTGTCTAAACAGAATAACATGGTTTGTTTAGATTCACTGAAATCAATATCAAATAAGAATCACCTGAAGCATTTAAATAAAAATGTTTAATCAGAATTAAAATATTAAACAACAAAACAGATACAATGACATTAATCTGTTTATTAACAATGAAGATAATACCAATTAAGTACAAATGCCTACATTTAAAATAACACATTTATACATGTGTACAATCAAATATAACTGTCCTTTGCCTCATTTATAAAGTAGCCTATACACCTTAGCATCTCACTAGCAGTGGCAACTGCAATCAGTTACAGCTGCCCAAAGTCTGTAGCCAAGTCTAATAACACCAGTGTACACGACGTTGCTGTGTCAATACAGATATGTATTTGTTAATTATTTGTCTTTACTAGTAGGCTAATAATACACCTGGTTTATCGTAGCAAGCAGTGAAGCGACACTTGCCAAGGGCTTGCGTTGCAACCATGGTTGAAACCCTCGTTCGCCAATATTTCTTTTTTATTACAATATATTTTTAGTAGCCTACTATCATAAATATAGCACGTTTGTTTATTTTAGCAAACCACGTTCTCCAAGTAAAATTGAATAGAAATGATAATTTATAATCTTTTTGAAAAATAGAGATCGCACATCAGTCATGTGTTCAATAAAGTCATGCCTAAACAGCGACATTTTACACGATAAATACGGGTTTAAACGGCAGCATTTGCCACGGAAGGCGAGTGGCAGCTACCATAAACCTTCTCTTACTCTGGCATCTTGTGGCAACTCCCGTTCAGCAGCGGCAGATGCCTCGGCAAGTATAGTGGCATCTGTGGCAGATGCCGGAAGTACTTGCCACTGCCTGCAGATGCCACGAAATGAGCCATTGTTCATGAAAACATATTTTCATGATTTTCATATTATTTAAACAGTTTAAAATACACATGTCTCAAGGGGTATTTACTTGCCAGCCTTTGGATCATTTGAATTACTGATACAGTAAGTTATTGCTTACTATTGTTGCTATTCTTTAGCAACACTAGAACACAAATGATATTGGGCCTCTCATACATGACATTAAACTCCTTGATCCACTGAAACGGCATTTTATATGAGATGTCAATGTCAACACATAGCCCTACCTGAGCAATGCCTTTACAGTATTTTAGCTCATAAACTAACAATTGGGACATATTGGCTGATGCCAATAGGAATTATGGCAGAATATCATTAGGAAACATGAACAAAAAGAAATGTACGTACATTTTGGAAGAGCATTGGAAACATGGTTCAAATAATTTGAAGGTTAATGGAGTGATAAATCATGAAATATTATGTAATTCATTTTTGATTAACTGGAAAGTGAATCCTTAATTTGTCATGTAGTCAGCTCAATCAATAGAGCATTAGGGTTAATTCAATCTAGTTTCGAGAAAAACATTTTAAAAGGATGAGTCTACTTTTACTGTAAACCATCTCAACATTACATTATTAAAACTCCTGTGCACCAAGTTGCTGTAAGTAAATAAATAACAGTGTTCATATGTGTATGCGTGTACTTATGAAACTGAGGGCCCACTTAGCTTTAGCTTTTAAAATAATGTAAATATTTGCAGTTTCAAATGTTCTCGTGTGCATGTGTAAATCTGTCTGTACACACATGTAACTGAGCTGCTGTTATTGATACAAGGAGAGATAAGAGAGTGAGTGTGTCCCTGTGTGAACTGGGTGTGAGCAGAAAAACACACTCTTATCAGACTCAGCTGTCACACTCAGTTAAAGACATACTAACATTCACAGCCATTTGAAACCATGTTTGATGTCCTGGGTCATGATTAACTTGTACTTTACATGAATATGCTGTGAAATGCTTCACTGTTGCCTATTATAAATACTGAAGGAATTTCACAATCCTCTCTCACTGAATTAAATAGAAATGGTCTGCTGCCACCACTGTACGGTACTGTCTAGCTGTGTGACTATATTTGTCCTCCCCTCCTTCTCTCTCTTGCACAGGGACAGGAGAGTCAAGAGCTGGACGTTTGCCAAAAGAGGCCGGCCCACCATGCAGCTGAAACTTTTACAAGCCAAGCAGGAAGAGACGCAGGGAGCAATCGAAGAAGAAAAGGAGGAAAAGAAAAAGTGAGAGAGACATCTGAACTCCTTTGTTTCCTTCTCCCTGTCTCTCCCCTCTCTGTGTCTGTCTGTCTCTCTTTTTTTTTTATTCCTTGTTAAAGCTATACTGTATTTGCCCGCCTTCTTTGGCAGGGGGTAAGTGCAGGACGGGACGGGAGAGGAGGAGGAGGCGGGGGGGGGAGACTTTGGGTTCAGAGAGTTCAGCTGAGGAGAGAAATAAATGCATAAACAACAAAGGAGACGTGACGTCAGGTTGAGGGGCTGTCCAACCTGCTGGCTGAATCTGAGCCTCCATGGAAGAACCGGATTGTTCGCACCACATGTGTGTGTGCGCCCGTGTACAGTATGAATGTGTGTGTGTCCATTGTCCTATCTTCGAGAAAAGACTCATGCAGAGTTAAAGCAGAGAAGCTGGACTATTGTGGTCTGTTTTGTCTCCGCGGTGAGTGTTTGAGGACTGGGAGAGCCCTCCAAAAATGTCTGTGTGTGTGTGTGTGTCAGTTTGAGGACTAAATAACACATTTCTAACTCAGGTATTAGAGCAGCTGCCACAAGGAAGGAACTGTTTCCAGTACGAGGCAGAAAAAAAGCAGTTTTTTCTCTTCAAGTTGATGTAAGTTTTGGAAGAAAGGGTTAGTTTGCAATTTAAAAAGTATTCCTCTTTTATTACACTCTACATTTTCAAAATGACATCAGCTCAGAGTTGAGCTCTGATTGGTTGGCTCGGCTCGGGATACCCGCTCTAACGCCAGTGATTGGTTCCGAGCTGGGCTACGGAGACGGTCGGCCATTTATGAACAGATGGATTTATGTTTTCTCTCCTAATGATTGGGGTCATCTAGAGGCGACAGCTCGCTGATCCAAGATCTGCATTGGTGTTCCACTGTCTTGCTGGTGTGAAAAAGCAAAGGGAGACCTGGGAAAGATGCCAACGGCTGTAGAAAAAAGTGACATTCTTTGAAATATCCACCCTCCTCGCTCATTGATTCATTTAGCTGAACTCCCTCAAACCCCTCCCACCAAGGAGGGCAGATATAATCCCCCGATGGAGGGAGAGGACGACTTTGCGAAAGGATGGAGGGAGATTCAGAGAAAAGAAGGCAGAATAAAGACGTCGGCAACTCCTTTTTGAGGCAAGTGAACTTGACAACAAATGTCAATGAGCCTCCAGTTCGAATCTCAAGTCAGCGTGGGATTATTTGATCTATTGATTGTAACAACATGGCAGAAGTCTCTCTTGCCATCTGTCTGAGGCTGCAGCATAGAGTAGAGTAAGTACAGTACAAGGTGAGAGGACCTTTTTGGATGTTGAATGCTTAAAATACAAATCCTCAGTTCTGCCAGCTGCTGTCCCGCTGTTTTGTGTCACCGCGTCTGCTTACGACAGTTTCTTCTCTTTCTTTTTGTTGTCTGTCTGTCTCACTCTCTTTCTCAACTCTTTTTCTGACTCCACCTCTTTCTGTTCCTCCTCTCTCTCTCTCTCTCTCTCGCTACAGCATGTCCCTCCCTTCCTCTTTCTGTCTCTACACCCCCCCCCCCTCCTCCCCTCTCTTTTCTCCCCTTGCCTCTTGGCAGCAGTGCCAAAGTGGGCAGTCGGACCGAGGCAAACACAGCACAGGGCAGAGCAGAGGGCGATCCAAAGGCTGGCGAATTGATTATGTGTGTGTTTGTGTTTTGTGTTCTCCGTCTGTGGGTTTGTCTCCGTTTTGGGCACACCAAACTGCAAGTAACGTGAGTGTATAGTGTGTCTGTTTTCTCTTTTTGCTGTGCTCAGTGTGTTAGAAACTGTGGCTTGTGTGCGTTTTCTGTGTTTGTGTTATAGGGCTATGTTAGAGCAGGCGTCCCTCTGTCACCCTGTGTACGGACAGACGCACTCACGCCAGTAGGAGGGGATAGTGGGAAGGGGGTGTAGCTCACAGAGGGTGTGCTCTACTCCTCTCTTTTCCCTTCTTCCCGCCATCACGGCCCTCTTCTCCTCCAGTCCTCCGGCCCAGCCCGGCGCTCACGTACAGGCTCCAGGTATTTTTCTATTTAATCCTGCGACACCTCTTCCCATCTTTTTCACAGCCCTATAATCTTCTCTTTCAGTTCTCTCGCACTCTTCTCTGTCCTTCATCATGGTCTTCCTACTGTAAATGTGTCTATCGTCGTCCGTTGCCACGCTGTACTCCAATCGCCGCCATTTTGGCTCAATGGACATAACAGTAGGAACTTTTCTGGAGCTCAGAGGGACTCCTCGACTCCCTGCTGTCCATCTTCTTTCTCCTGCTTCCATTATGTCTTATTTCTCTGTCCCTGTCGCCCACTTCCTCTCCCCGGTCTGCTCGAGGTCAGCAGGCTCTGACAGGGAGGTAAACAGTGGTACTGTGGCTTTCTGTACCAAACAGGTGACTCTGTGTAGACTGGCAGGAGGAGGGAAAGGCCCTTGGTTACTTTCTGACCTCAGAAGGTCGACCGAGAGAGTTGTTGTTGGGTTCACGTCAGCACCAGACTATCTGCGGTCAAAGGACAAGTGGGACACTTGGAAGTCTCTTATCATCGCGAGCCGTTATGATAGCTCGTACAGGGGCAGTATTGACTTTGTTTCCCTTCACACGCTGCTTGAGCTTTCGGCCACTGTTAAAATTCAAATATGTGGCAGTATTTTCACAGTTTGTTTGTTTGTGCTTGACTTTTATATTTCTGAAATCTCAAGGTGTGACAGTTGGTTAAAAGGTGGTAACTGCCTTGACCCACTGCGTCGGAGGTTACTGTGTGTACGAAGCTTTGCACTTCAGAGGAAACTGATGCAGATATGAAACCGACAGCTAAAAGGAAATGTTTACTGTTGTTGTTCTGCAGTAGATCATATAATTTAATCAGTGAAGCTGTTGATTTCTTTTTATAGAAGAAAGCATAGGGTAGCATTTGTCAGATTGATATGTCGTACTCAGAAATCTTTGAATTTTAACCTGCATTTCTGATTTCAGTCTTAAGTTAGAGGCCTGTATACCCTGAAACAAGAACATAGTATCAATGTCTGTATGAGTCAAAACAGGATATGCAAATGAACGAAAAACCAATTTGATCTTTCAGGTACTCTAACTGCTGCCTAATGTTAATACTTTATCTGGATCTAAATACGGTTCCATGTTAAGATGGCGCCTTCGTGCCACGTGTTTGTGAAACTGTGAATATGGGCAGACCCTTTCAACATGCCTTTCAACATGCCCCTCACAATTCATGGCTATTTTACTAATAATTATCTGGCTTCAGCAACTGTGACTTGAAATCAGCATTGGCATTCGACAGCTAAATAATTAACAAAAAAATAACCTTTCTTGATGTATATCGACATGACAGTGACGCGAGGAAAAGGTTAAGAAAGTAGAAGCTGTAGAAAAACAGTGAGAACAAGGGTTACAGAGACAGAACGAGAGGTAGGAGTGAGAGAGCTCTTTCCCCGCCCCTCTCTTATCCTCAGATGAACTTGCCGTGTTGCCTCATAATGTTTCTGAGTTTTTCTCCTAGAGGCAGTCAGGCTTACTTCCTGCATTCAGCCTCAGCATAGCTGATTGGTTGATATCTTGGCTGACCAGCTGCGGTTTACAGCGAGGCAACAGGAAGTTTCTCTTCTCATGCAGGAAGCTGACGCTGCTTCGTCCTGACATAACCTGATTTCACTCTTGCACGCTAATCTTTGTATACGAGCACAAATATGCATGCATGTATGTGAGCGTTTGTTTGTATGGCCTGCTCTACGTTGCACTAGTGAAGGCTGTAACATGTGGGCGTGTAGCAACATGCCAGGCCAGGCATCTGAGCTTTCAGAAACATTTGAAACCATGGTAACCACACATCTCATCAGCACATCGGCAAAAGCATAGACAAGTGGAGAAGAGGAGAGGGCATAGAGTGAGTAAATGAAGAGGAGGAGGTAAACCTTTGATCTACGTTATCTTCGTTCAGTGGTTTTGGAAACACATCTGGCCATCTGGGTAATTGCAGGCTATACTTTAGCTAATACACCAATGACTCGGATATTCCTCCTCATTTCTTTTATCAGATAATACCTCTCATTCTCTCAAATAAAACCCTATTTATATACGTATTAAAATGCATTTTCTATAGTTACATACCAAATCTTGTAGATTTAGCAGAGTGTGTGCCCTGCCACCTTTTTTCATACTCATTTCGACGCAGCTCCACTTCTATGGTTGAAATGATTGTTGATAGTCAAAACAATGGCTGCCTTATAGTCCTGTTTTATTTTAGGCATACTATCCTTTTATCCAACACGTTGCCTGACATGTTTACCTTGCTCTGATGCCTTTGAGCCTTGTGTGGAGCCCTTTACTTTGCATCACAGAGCAGTCGATGGCAAAGGACCGGAAGCATTTTTTATTTAATCAGGCTTTAATAAATCAGGATCAGATACAATTAGCTTCTTTCATGTGCACAGTTTAAGCAACTGTGCTGTGTCTTCCAGTGTGTGTAACTCCATGCATATGGCAGCGTATATCCGTATACATGTAAATACACGAGCATGAGCCTTATGTGTTTGCGCTTAGTTAATGAGGATATACAGAGTGGGCACCTTGCCAAGTGGGAAGACGCTCAGAGCTCCTGTCCTTCGTCCTTTAATGTAGGAAGCTGGCATTCCTCAGGGAGTGAGGAAGATGAAAAAGCATCTACAATAAAATCACCATATCACTCCTCTGAGGATCAGCCCTCTCTTTCGTATCTACCATATGCCTCGATACAATTTTTTTTCTCCAGAGTAAGACTGGACACGAGTAAGACAAGACATCCATTTGCATCTTTTTAACTGTGGGAATTCTTAATTCTGCCGTTTATTGTGTGGCATACTTCCTCTGCCAACTCCAGCTCCCCCACTGCTCCTCCTCCTCTTTGCCCACCATCACCACCTCCTTCCTCCCTTATTGAAATTCTGCCTGGCACACAGACACTGCCCATTCTTGGCACAAAGCTCAGAGAGAGAGAGAGAGAGAGAGAAACACAGGAACCTGTACCAATCGTCTGGTGCCCCCTCCGTTGTGTCTGCCAAGCATTCATCCCATCACGCGGACCAAGGGACCAGGCAATCCAATAGGTATTTCCCTGCCTTTGCTTCCTGCTCAAATTTGCTCCAATTCTGAGGAGTTTTGTTGGCAACTGAGTCTGCTGTGTGTATTTGGGGATTCGTTGATTAATTTGTGTGTTTACGTCGTTTGTATTGGGTGAGGAATGAATCCGCGAAACCTGCATCCTCCAACAGTGTCGGGAGGAAGCTACGGCCTATTGCTTCCACAATGCGATTTGATTCTCGCATGGGTTTGGATGTGCTATAGATGATGAAGTTGCAGTGTTTCTTTGTGTGTTTTGATAGAACAGCATGTTGATGTAAAAAGTCAGTAGAATAACCGTTTAGCAGGCATTTTTATTTTAACTATAGATATTTTGATCTTTTTTTGTAGGTGTTCACTTTTGAATTTTCTCAAAAACCCTTCATATTTTATAGTTGTGTCAGTGTTATAAAAATGTACTCATTTAAAACCAATGTCTTGTGTTGAATGCCGGAATTAGATTTAGGTAGGGGCTTGATAGATGTTGTTGCTGTAGATCTGTTTATTATAGAAATTACATTTCCAGTGCTACAACTGACATGGGGTCTTAGAAAACCCAGAAGAAACATGTGTAACTGTTAACAAGAGATAGATCCTGAAACAGGAAATTGTATCCAGAAAAAACATATCCTGGTTGGTCACAGCAGACGAGATTAACTCAATAGGCCTCTTTTTTTCTTTCCCCTGTCTTTCTTTTAAGATCCTCTGAGCTGCCCCACTGGCTGAAGGCTCATTTATTTTGGAGCTGTTGACAGAGAAAATGATTTGCCCCACCAAGCCTTGTGTGCCCCTTTTATGTGCCATGTCAAGTCCACCATCACAGACAGCGCCCAATAGAGATCACATTACTGACCGAGATTGGCCTCTGTGTTTGCTAAACAGTCGGGAGTTGTGCAGGGAAAGAGATGCCAATTTTCGCAATTAACCCAGAAGCACAAATTTCCCCACTAGTGTTTAATGTGTATGTATTTTTCATTGGAGGCCATGCTCAGTCCTGTTAAATCTTCATTAGTTTGACCAATTTCCCCCCAGTACTCTGTGTCATCTCATTATTAGTCTGTCTTCCAAATACAGCTCCAGTCAAGGGACGTTTCCCGGCGACCGAACAGAGCTCGTAGATCTGTCACTGGCACGGTGGCAGAGTTGGGCATCATGCCAACACACCCCCACCCCCTTCTGTCTGTCTGGTCTTCTTTAATCAGACTAGCAGGGTCTACTGCATGCTAACTATAGGCTGGCCTGGACCATGTCTCAGGGGTTGTGGCTGTATGCTAATTTATGCAAGCAGTGTACCTCCTATTCCCTTCTCTGTCTATCTGAGGCCAAGGTCTGGCATTTTAGTCTGGCACTCGTTAACCCTTCAGTAGCTGCCATGTTAACTGGCTGGCCCATCCCAACCTTTATCCCATAAGAGTGGAGTATTTAGCTCTGTGACGGGGAGCATAGTCTCAAATAGCGAGATTAATACAAGTTAAGAAATCAACTTGTTTAGTGCCAACTTTTTAATCGAAACGAGGGCGGATCTGTTAATCGCACCAGTGGCATATATGTACTCCTCCTCTGTGAACTTTTCCTCTGTCTGATAAGTGTTGTTACAGTTTTTCTCTTACTTTGTATCCGTGACTGTGAGCGCATCGTTCGGTCTCTTGGCTTCGTCTCTGTGCTTGGCACAATATTGATTCGCCATCACTGTCGATAGAAGAGACACTTTTTCTTCATCGTGAGATAGCATCCTCGGAAAAAAGCGGAAAGGTGGACCTTCTAGTGTTTTTAAGCAGAACTAAAATGGCCGATGAACGCCATTTTGTGGTTCCTTGTTGTGTTTTGGGGGGCAGAATCCCAGCCTTGTATTCAATCAGAGGCAGCTGGTGGAAGCCATATTTGCAGGCATCTGTGTGTGTACCACCGTCTGAGAAGCAGCAGCCAGCCTACACAGGGATAGCCCACTGAAATGAGCTCAGTTTTTGGCCAAAAACGGAAACGAATTCCTGGCACAGAGTCGAGCATTTCTTTTTTCTCTCTTTCGATCACATCCAAGTCTCAGGAAGCCAGTGAGTTGTTTGTTGGGCTTTTGCACATTAGTGCTCTCACTTTCCGATGTCTGCTAACCGTTAAATAATTTGTCTTTAATTTATTTTAATGGAACAAATTCCTTTACGACATTTAACACTGTATCAAAAAAAAGAAGCTGGTTTTAATGGTGAAAATGTGCCGATAAACATAATAATCTTTTGTTTAGATTCATAGACATTTCTCTAAAATCTTTTAAAGAATTGTTGTCATGAAGCAATTTTCAGACATAAGTTGTTTTATTAAACGAGTTCCAGGAACACAGAAATTAAACTGAAATACAATTAAGCTCTTTGAGTTCGGACCGTCATAAATATACACTCAAAAAGGCAGTACTACCCAGTTTTACCTGGCATGTATCTTACAGAGAATGATTAAGATAACCCCCCCTGTCTTTTTTTCTATGTACCATTGCAGGAAAATGACTTTTGGGGATCTTTGATGCGGAAGCAACGTGAATGCTGTCCTTGGGGCTGAGGTAGTAGATTGAATAGTTGTGGGGTTTTGTAACCTCTTTTTGAGATAACTATACAATCTACTGTCTTTCCCAAGGAGACAGCTGAGTCAGCCACTCACCGACTGTCATCTCCAGATGGGCAATCCCGCTTCCAATCAAAACTTGGAGTTGTCAACATATTGTGAAGCATTGTTATCTGTGTGCAGGTTAATTAGCTTGGATGTTCCCGAATAGGACGTGGACGTGTTTGATTCGGGCTCTTTCAGGGTGAGGTAGTAGGTTGTATAGTTTGGTGGGTGGGACTGCACCCTGCTCAGGTGATAACTATACAGTCTATTGCCTTCCCTGAGGAGTCACTGAACATGATTCCTCAACACACTCTCATTTTTGTATCGCATTTATTTGTAGATAACAGGAAGAAAGAGCAAGTTATATGAGCAGAACAAATGTACACATGAAATGATTGAGGCTGTAAAATGACTGATATTATGTACATCTGTATAAAGTCTTACTTGATTAAAATGGGTTGTTCAATAATCAGTGAATGTGAAAGTGTTTGTCAACTACTATGATGGTGTGATAATTTGTGTACAACAGCAGCTAGTGAGTGTGTTAGTCTACAGCATCCTCTAGTGGAAACTAATGATAGCTTTGATACAAATAAAGTCAGCAGACAAGGAGCAGACACTGATTGTAATGGCAAGTAAGAGAATGCATTTTTTTCAAACAAACAAACAAACAAACAAACAAACAAACAAACAAACAAACACTCTCTGGCTGCCAGTAGTTTCCCAGTTGTTTATGTGTAATAAAGTCTCAAATATTTGTTGGATTGAGTGGTTTTCAGATTTTTTGTGTGAGTGGGCAATAAAACCTTACGAAAAAGTATAATGAACTCCAAACTGAAACATAAGGGACTTAAAAAGCATGTAGTCCTTTGTTAGGGTGTGCTTTTCCCTCCTGATCCACATGTCTCTATGTGATTGGCTCGGCTGCTTTTTATTGATTGGCAAACTTGCTTGTCCCCATGGCAACAGTTCAGCCTCACAATGAAGCGTCTCCATATTTGACTGTAGGCCTGTTGGATTTTTGGGATGCGACAAGCGTAGACCACAGGGTTGACTGCTGAGTTGGCATGAGACAGGAGAATACCTGTAAAATGGATTAGCTATTATCAGATTTCACTGCGACAGCTGGTAAGTGGTGTGATCAATTATTGTGATATTTGAAAAGAATACCTACTTCAGACTGTAAGTACTAGAAAAGATACCTGCCTGTATAGAGTGTCCCCCGTGTCACAGCTTGTGGACCCTGAAACAGCAGCAGGCAGTTCATCAGGTGCAGAGGAATCCAGCAGCCGGCAAACAGAATGAGAACCAGAGCCAGGGAGCAGGCAAGCCTCTTCTCCCTCAGCAGGGAGGCCTTGGCCTGGGGACAGCTTTCCTTTAGACGGCCCTGCAGGCTCCGGAAGATTTGAGTGTAGAGGAGGGTCATGACCAGCAGGGGGGCCATGACACATCCCAGGAAGTTGAAGTAAACCATAAAGGGGAGGGAAATAACTGAGAGGAAGGTGCAGGGTGGAGAGATGGAGGAAGAGGAGGATGTGTTGGTGAAATCTGATGTTAGAGAGGAGTAGTTACGCCAGCCAAACAGAGGGGTGAACCCAAGTATGCAGGAAAGAGTCCAGCACACAGAAACAGCCATCCATGTACGCCTTTGTGTGGCCAGGGCTTTGTATCTGAGGGATAAAACAGAAAGAAAGATTGTTTCTACAAATCAAGCAGCAAGTATAAAGATCCTTAGCTGTAAATCAGTTAGACCTTACCTGAGGGGAATGTGTAATCGGAGGTATCGGTCCACAGAGATAGCGAGCAGTGACAGCACAGAGGCCTGAGTCAGCACGAGCACAACACAGCTGAGAAGTAGGCAGAGGTCAGGGGTCACACTCACCCAGCCATCCAACAGGACAGCCAGGGGCACGGCCGCCACACCCACCAGGAAGTCAGCCACTGCCAGGGATACGAGGAAGCAGAAAGTGGGCTCTCGCAGGGAATCCCGGATGCCAATACACACCGCACACACCACCAACGCATTGCCAAGGAAACAGGAAATTGCAATCAGCACTTCTAGTACTGTGTAGGCCACCCAACTCCAGTCAGTCATCACGAAAGAAGAAAGTCAGAGAAGCTGAGAAGTTTGATAGAGAAGGTTTCCTTGAAGGCCGTGGAAAGTTATGTCCAACATAATCCTATGGTTGTCATTTTGAAAAACTGTTCCTCCACGAATTCAGCTCTCAGCTTCAAATGACCGGAAATGTAATGAACGGAGTATTTTTATATTCTACAGGCAAGCGCTTTTCTGTGCACGCACAACAGGCGTGCACTCCGTAGAGACGCCATCTGTATTTCATCAGTTGGTAAAAAGGCTTTTCTCACACTGACAGTTGTGTCTCAATAGACTTAGAGGAGACACATTCTAAATGAGTCACGTCACATTCTTCACACAAAGATGTGTTTCATATTTTCAGTGGTACTCAACTCTTAACTACATACAAATACTGATAATACAGGGTTTGAATACTTAAATATGTAAAGCAGATGTATTTAAAACATGAGATTTTGAAATATATTATACTATGTATGAGCAGCAATCAAATTCTGTAACTATTTGGACTATCCTATATGCTGCTTGATCGATCATAGGGCATTACAATGATTTTATAAGTTAGGTTTTTACGTTTAAAATAAAAATAAAAACAAAGATGTCAAACAAGTTTAGTGAAGTCAATTATGTAATGGTCCCCTGTGTCACATGTTTTTTCAGCATGTATGTCTGTGTCCCTGTCATTTGACTATGAAAATGTATTGTCTTTACTGTGGCAGCATAAAAGACAGTCTCTTCTCTGATGTGTTGAGTGTGTGTGTCCACTCTGTGTGTTACAGGACTGTTAGGTTACTGATTAACAGGCTGGTTGTTAGAGGCGCTTTTTCAATGCATGCTTACTTTGCATACCATTTTGTTTTTTGTGGGTGTGTGTGTTTGCTTCAGTTAATAATCACATCTGTGTTTGCTTAGCTGATATGCACTACATAGTACATCTTTGTTCACACAAATAGACAGGCAGACAGACAGACATACAGTCAGATCAACAACATCTAGAAACAAATTCTGTTTTCTGAAAATATTTTTATTTTATTTTGATTTAAAAAAAGATATTTCGACACAAGTAAATAATGTTTTACAAAACCCAATTATGTTAATAATAAGAAGCAATTTTATTTGTTTAATATCTGCAATGCAGAATCATATAAAAACAGAAATGCACACCTTTTAAAAAAAAAAAAGAATAATTGTAATTCTACTTATGAAGTAGATATTATGTGATAACCTTTAAGATTTACATATGTTTTAATGCCAGTCATAAATACATCTTCTGGCTTTTCAAATACTTAGTATTAATTTATTTTGACTTATAATTTACAAACAGAAAGGTTATGAGAAAGGATGATAACCGGAAGACCATCAGAACATCCTTTGCACTTATTCCATTGATATGCCTACTCATCATGCCTCCTACACTGAATGAGAGTCTCCTTGAAGGCCTCTCAGTGTTTTCTCATCGAAACGGTAGGTGAGCTTTCTCTTCACCTTTTTTATCTCGCCTGTGCGAGAGTAGTTCCTCAGGGCCCGCGCCATCTTCTGGTAGGTCATGGTCTTGCGATTGCCCTTCCTCTTGCCCCACAGCTGTGCCAGGCGCTCCTTGTTTTCAGAGGAGAACTGGAACGTGCCAGAGGAGGATTGAACCCACCAGATGCAGCTCCGCATCGATGGAGTCTGGAGCATCTCAAATAGAAACTGGAACAACCGCTCCTTCCTCTTTCCTGCCAAGGAGAAAGGGGATGTAAATACAAATATGAGGTGACAATGACTCACATGTATATAAACCCAACACAACATAAGACCTCAAACTAAATACTTAGATGTTTTTTGTAGTGTAGATATGTGGAAGTTTTGTAGAGTTTTGCTGCTCATCTGCACATGTTTTCAAAGATTAAAAGGCTTTATTGTCATATGCACAATAGCTTCATGTAGTTTTGGCAATGACAGTCTTAAGTCCCATGGTCCTCGAACAAAAAAACCTACCCTAACATAGTTAAGAAATACAAATAAATAGAAGACCTGCAATGTGTTTGTGTGTATACCTGAAAGTGGGGCAAGAGGCAGGAGGTCTCTTTCAATTCCTCCTCCCCTGTCAGACAATGGTGACGGGGAATCTTGGTACTCCTGGTACTGGGAGCCACTGGACAGCGAGTCTGAGTCAAAGTATCCAGGGGCCCCGTAGGAATACGGAATGTGGTCCTGAAGCAGACGCATATTAAACATATTAATAATTTACGAAAGTAAAAATATATGTTGGCACAAACATATCATGTTGGCAAAAGCCAACTTTGTCAAACACAAGAAGTCTATGAAAATATCTGATCTCTGCGATATACAGAATCACATACAATCAGAAATTGACACATTTTATTTTAGGAACGATTTAGGTTCTACTTATAAAGTAGATACAACGTTCTAATGCCAGAGTCTCTTAATCATGAATCAAAGAGTCTCATGTGTCACGGTAATGTTTTGTTATATCTAGCTATGATAAATGGTAATCAAGCTTAAATGTACTAAGAAAATAAGGTCCTTGAACTCACCCATTGGTTGTCATGGGGACTAGGCCAGGCTGGATGCAGAGCTTGCTCGTCATATTCCTCGTGAGGAGTGTGAGAGTGCCACTCATACGGATGCTTGCCTGACCAGCTGTTCACTACGGAGAAACAGTCAAAACATACAGTTAGAAGAAAATAAATATACAAGCACAAACTTAATCCAATTTGTAAACCTGCCACACTAACCTGTGATCCTGGTGCCCTGGTGGGGGTGTACGTGTGTGTGTGGAGACACAGTGGCCGGAGGTGAAGCAGTAGTGTGCGCAGGATGGACCTCCATAGAGTGCTCCTGCAGGTACTCCTCGATGACCTCCAGGTCCACCTCAGGGCAGGAGGAGGGGGGCGCTGCGCTCCAAGCGCCCCGACCTGCGCTAAGCCTGATCTCAGTCACATAAGCCATCTGACAAACAAAGAACAGGACACAGGCTTTCAGAAATATGATTTTGAGAGAGAGTTTGTTGCATGGAAAACGGAAAACACTTTGCATGATGGGTGGCATTTATCTCGGGTCAGTCATAACCTGTGTTATTAGCAGATCAAACACCTGCTGTGTTGTTATTCTTCATGAAACACCCATTGTTGTTTTGTTGTGGTGTACTTTTGAGATTCTGAAGATAAGGGATGCACTCATTCATCAACTTTTAATGAGCTGTGAATGTTCCATTTTTTTACATCATTTATAACAGAAGATAACATATTTTGTCCATCTACCATAGACCTTCACTAACAATATGAAGCAGTGAACTGTCTATTTAACCTGAGCTGTGGGCGATGTTGGAATTATGCCAGGTAACAACAGTGACAATTTGTATTTGAGTTTGACTGGCAAATTTATGCAAGTGTTTGTGCTTTCACTAACACAGGTAACATTCAGGTAACAGTGACGTGTGTTAGGTGTTTTCTTCAGAAATAACCTTTTTACCCTCATCCAACACAATTAATTTACAGTAAACACAATTGTATTTTAGAGCAAACTGTTATTGAAACATCTTACTGTATACATATAAACACATTTCTGTCATTCGTGGTGTAAAAACATCCAAAAAAGTACATCATACACACTTCTTAAAATAAATGAAATATCACTCACCGTCTCCAGATCTGCCAACATACCTAAAGAATAACCTGGAAAGAAAAAACACACTTGTGAGACACCAGAATCAAAACTCACAAAATGAAGTGAAAGCAGCTGTCACACATACTTCTCTAAATGATCTGATAGGCCGTCACATGACAGCAAAAGACAATAAGTAAGAGCCTGAATGAATAATGAAATGAACATGATAATATCTGTACCTTATTCAGTCAGAGATGACAGCTCCTGTGTCTGGTAGAGTCAATGTACTATCCTCAGGCAGGAGAGAGAGAGGGTGGAGACATTGGTATCTGAAAGCCTCACCTGAGTGATGCTCCACCTGAAATTGCACCTCTCTTATAGTCTTTGCACACTTTTGGCCAAGCCCCTTGGGAGTGGTTTACAAAATAAATGTTTTCCTTCTCAGCAGATTGCAAATAACAGCTACATATTTATTAACTGTTTTAAGCTATCATGGAATCAAAACTTGTGGTATATTTGTGGTTTCTTATCATTTCATTCACAACATAGAAGATATTTATTGGAAAACTCAGCACACTAACTGAAATATTTGAATGACATCTTTACCCATATGGGTTATGGGTGATGATGAAACTGTTCTCAAAACAATGTTACTGAAATAATGCCAACAAACTCATTAGTTACTGAGCAAAATTAGTGTAAGGTCACCTATTCTGTCGATATAATACCTTATGATACATGATAGTTAGTAGTTAAAAAAAGCTAACCACAATACTGCTACATTAAAATCTAATTGTTGTTATATTGCATCACACTGCACAAAATGGCAACGTTATGCAATCCATGGTCAACAAGTGACGTGTGAGCCTTTTTGTTTCGTGTACAATTAAGACGTAGATTCCAGAACCCTACTGGCACTGCAACATGCGTCTTTCATCATAGGGTGTGTATCTGAGGGATTTCCCCAAGCCTTTCTGAGTCTGAGACAAACACTGACTGTAAACTTGTTCAACTGATGGCCTCGTAGAGCCTGCAGCACAAGGAGAGGGATGTATAACCAGTCTGTGTGTACAACAACCAACCCTTGTCCAGCGTTTGAAGTCAAATCAGAAGTTACAGAATCCAATCAGTGCCTCAATACTCAAAGCAAGAATGGTGAATTCATCCTGAAATGAGGGTGTGTGATCTGGATTTAAAGACTCGAGGCGTTGTCAGAAGCTGTTTTTTCTTCACATGAGAGTGCCTATTATTGTCAGTAATACAAAAAAAAAGGATGTTTACAGAGGTCAGTTTTTTTGTTCACTGGTTCTCTGTTTACTTAGTGTCAGTGTGAGTTTCCTCAAATAGTACAAAGACAATTCAATTCAGGTCAACTGCAACAGGAATGTCTGGGGCCATTTGTGAAAATGTGTTAACCTACTGATGGACTTCTGACCTGTTTAAGGTGTTACCTTGTGTTTCCCTGCAATGCATGCTGGGATGAAGCACGTACATGTTGACAGATATTCATTGAAATGAAAATAAATGAAACTTAACAACAATGAATGTTTAAAAAATGACTTTGACAGTTATGTATTGCCTGATAAGCAGTGTCATTATAAATCTAAATGTAGTGCTGCTAGCCTGTGACCTCATTGGACTGATGATATATGACACATGTAGCGGGAAAGGCATCGGGGTATTTACACCTTGTGTTTTATTCCTGAGCTATCAACTTAAAATGATAACAACTCAAACTGTGCTTACAGGAATAGCACTGCTAACTTTACAACTTGTTTAAGTTGTGTAAAGATTCATCACAGTAAAACATTATCACAGGCCCACACGCTGTACACCTAGAATGCACAAAATGTTATATGTCGAAGTGTATCAGAAATAACTTGGTACTTAACACTTTTATTGACCAAAATATACTTAAATATTCTTCTTCTCTTTCTTTTTGGTTCTAGACTTTACCATAAGCATTGTGTACATGTACCTATGCATGCTTATGAGTAAAGCTCTTATTGAAACAGCAGCTGGGCCAACAGTGCCAGTGATTTCCACCTGTGTGACAGGCTGACCACCTGCAGGCTTTGACCCCTTCTCTCTGTTTTAACTCATGCACACACACACACACACACACACACACACACACACACACACACACACACACACACACACACACACACACACACACACACACACACACTGAAATGTTACTGCTCTACTTGTATGCACATAGCGCAGCTTTGTTTACTCTGTGCATGTTTGTGCAGGTATAAATAATCAGAACCTATGGCAGGCAAATATTTAGATTCTGGTTTGACTGAGAAATCTAATGATGAATTGATTATTTTACGCAAGTTGTTTGTTTATAAGATTTTCCAGTGCGGCTGTGGTCTTTAAAGTGAAGTTAAAGGCAGGCGGGAAACCTGTTCAACAAGGTGGAGAACTAGTTTCCGTGAAATATGGAGAGCATTTCCCGTACATAAAGCTCATGATGTCATACAACCTTTTTTTAACCCGTAAGTAACAAAACAAACCACAGAGTAGGGCATAATCTTGATGATGTGGTGAGACATAAGTAAGTGTATCTAATATTATCTTATCTATTATACTGCAAAAGTTAAACATATAAATCAGTAGTTCTCTCTCATGTGTGCAAACCCATTACCAAACCCATTTTATTACCATTACAACGCCAGTACCAAAGCCTAGTGGATAAATCAGACATGGCAGTATAGTAACATTAGTAGTTGAAAGAGCAGCAGTAGAAGGTAAAAGCTGTGAAATCATAAAGACACTTCTCAAAAACTTGATATAAAGACTTGATAAACGTGTTCGGAAAATCCCTGAGCGTTGAATGAAATAGGTGACGGTTAGGATTCCTATAATTCAGCTGCACCTGGAGGACCCAGACATGATAAGGCCAGAGAGACATTTGACCCTTGCAGTGAAAAACACACAGTGAGGCAGGTGAAACCTAAGAAGTGTTTATTAGCCCATCCAGCTTTCACATCTGATATGGGTTTGCAGAATTGCTTTAGCAGGTGGGGAAGTCGAAGCTAAAAATAAAGGTTTGCAGCTACCAATTAAATAAATAAAGCCACATAAAAACTACCACAGGTCTTTGGAGTGATAAAACAACTACTAAGTTAAATATATTACTTTATTTCAGTATGTTTATTAATAGCTTGGCAGAAGTTTGCAACATCTGACTCTCTGCAGGAAATGCAGAAGTGATCACTGTAATTCTTTGGCAATTACAGGCAATTTTAAATTAAATTTGCATATTTTCTTTGTCCTTCAGCATCTATGTGGGAGATTTAATCGATGGTCTTCATGAACTGTGTCTGAGTCACTTGAAATGTTTAACGGTCACAAAATGGCAGGTGAAAAAGAAAACGGACTTGTGAATGCTTATGCAAACACACACACAAACACATACAAACCTTGTTGACCATTAATGGCTTCAACATTTAATCTTATCAACACCTTCATCAGCGCCTGATGAGTAAAGGGCCGTGTATGTGTGTGTGTGTGTGTGTCCAGGTGTAGTGAGTTTACAGTTATAGCCAAACCCCATAGATTAGTGAACATACGCAAATCACCTGTACACATGCAGGTTTATGGGAATTCCCCCAATGCCTTGATAAAAAGGTTGGTGGCGTTGGGGCGTGTGCTTGTTTATGCGTGTGTAAAGTGATAAGTAAGAAAGCCACAAGCCCTAATGACAAACACGCATTCATAAAAAAAGCAGTAATCACATTTCATATTTGATCACATTACATTTTGGGACCTAAATTCACGTGTAATTTGTACTGTTGCTAGGCCTGATGATGATTTTAATGAATGGTGAAGAACAACAGCTTTTTAAAAATCTGTTTGATGTTCACACCCTTGGGCAGGGCCCCAGTGGAGGCAGGTGAGGAGGCAGTTGGACATGGCGTGGCGTACTGTGTATTAGAGACGCTGGCAAGTATGCAAAACTTGAGGTTTTCACCTCCAGCTCGATATCGCTCTCCCACATTTCTGTCGCTTTTCTTTTCTGTATTTTCCATGTCTCTTTCTTCTTTGAATTAAATGCAATAACTAATATTTTTGGTTCCAAGTTGCATTTAAAATTGTATTACACCTAATACCTTAGTGTCTTGCAGTTTTGCAGTTAAGGATGCTAATCACAATTTTTTTAATAAAACTGCAGTGTGCACATACTTGTAATTTACATATGGTTACCAGCAGTGCAGCGGTCAATTGGTCTTGGTTACGGAGGATATTATACATCCCTCTTAGGAGAATGCCGGAGATAAGGAATGGGATTGGGAACTGGTGGGACTGTGCATTCCCACGGAATGTTTGTGTCCTCGAGTAGGCAGTCCTACAATCTGTGGTCTCAATAAAATGTCATAAACCACACATAGACGCACAGAGACCCACCATCCTTATCGCAATAACACATAAACTGGAGTGCAAAGACTGTACATAAATCATCAGTTTTCACAGCGAGATAAGCAATGGACAAAGAGAGCTATCTGAGCTCCGAGGATAAAATATAACATCTTCATAACATTTTCTTGATCCCAAAGAACACAATAAAGGGCCTGAGGGTTTTTGATGAGCTATTTTGAAACCAGTCCCTGTTGCATAGAGGAAAGCCCACACACGCCACACTCAGGGAAGCCATGCATGTTTGTCTCTTAGCCCAGATTGAGCAGATCCCAGTGTATTCTCCTGCTGGGGGCCCACACCTCCACTCTACAGCTGTTGTCATGGAGGGAGGGGAAATGAAAACAATAGCTGTCTTTTCTATCAGCCTCCCACATTTGAACTTTTTGCCTGCAAAAAAAACCCTCACTTGACATCTGTCTCAATATTTCAGAGGGTAATAGTACTTGATCATTGTGTTAGGTGTTTTTGAGCTTGTAATGTTTCTGCATAATGCATGAACTCTCTTCAATCGAGAGGTTTCAACAATAAAGGATGTAAGTACTAAAATTGTGTCTGATCCCACCCACATACTCCACCCAGAATTCCAGCTCCTACCTTCTGGTAGAAGATTCAGGGTTCCCAAGAGCATGCTGAACCGCTATAAGCACTCATTCCTACCTATGTCCATTAAGCTTCTTAACATTCACATGAAATTAAATGTAGTCAAATGTAATGAAATGTACTTTTTGAAATGTTGGCCATGAGGGTTGTGCGTCTGTTTGTTCAAACGGTGTATGACTGATGATATGTGTATGTCTCTTAATGTCTACTAAGTTTGTATACTGTATGTACATGTATGCGGAACTGTAAGGCAGAGTCCAGAACAAATTTCCTTACGGAGACAATAAAGTATATCGTAT